TGAACAGTTTCCAAGGAATCGACCTTCTTAAACTCGCTCAGCTTCAAAAAGAAGACACTGATCTTCAGCATGAGTTATCCTCGACAACTCTTAAACTAAGTATTAGGCAGATGGGAACAGGTAAGGAAACCTTACTCTGTGACACATCTGCAGGTAGGGATCGTCCAATTTTACCAAAACACTATCGCCGCAACGTCTTCAATACGTTGCTCAATCTTTCTCATCCAGGTGCTCGTGCAACAATCGAACTTATAGCCGAACGCTTTTGTTGGTCTGGCATGAATAAAGACGTGAGGGAGTGGGCACGCTCCTGTGTAAGCTGTCAAAAATCAAAGGTAATCAGACACAACAAATGTCCCTTAGGTTCTTTCCAAACCCCTGACGCTCGTTTCGACCACGTCCATCTAGATTTGGTAGGACCCTTACCCGACTCGAACGGATACTCATATCTCCTAACATGCGTAGACCGTTTCACTCGATGGCCAGAAGCAGTACCGATTAAGGACATTACTGCTGAAACCGTGACCCGCGCTTTCGTCGAACGATGGGTAGCAAATTTCAGCTGCCCTTCAACCATCACTACAGACCGCGGACGCCAGTTCAAATCTGGACTTTTCCGTTGTCTGACCACACTCTTAGGAATCACGCACTTCCGAACGACCGCCTACCACCCACAAGCAAACGGGTTGGTAGAACGTTTTCATCGACAACTAAAAGCTTCATTATCATCCGCAAACGTTTCACAGTGGACAGACGCTCTTCCACTCGTCTTGCTAGGTATCCGCAATGCAGTGAAAGCTGACATTGGATACACGGCATCTCAACTCGTTTACGGAACGACACTTCGACTCCCAGGAGAATTCGTAGATCCTTCAGCTTCTTCATTGAACATGGATCTAAACTCTTACACGAGTAGGCTTACAAACGCTATGCGTTCAGTTAAACCTGCTCACACTCGACCTCAATCAACTGATGTTTTCGTTCAACCCGAATTACGACATAGTACACACGTCTTCGTTCGTTGAGACTCTCATCGACGACCCCTTGAATCAGCATACGAAGGACCCTTCAAAGTTCTTCAACGCGAACCTAAGTACTATGTAGTTGATAAGAACGGTACGAACGATAGCATCAGTATCGATCGACTCAAAGCTGCGTACCTAGAAGGAAACCCTAGCTACGTCGATTTTTCTTCGGTACAAGCAAACGACACAGCTACTACACTCGTAGTACCCTACACGACAACCGACACAAAACTTGATACTTCGTCAACGTCGATAGAAAAACCTAAAACAACGCGTTCTGGAAGACGAGTAAGATTTCCAGAACATCTTAACGAATATTGCACGTAGGACATAAGCTTTATCTTGAATTACCCTTCCATAGTTCATTATAAAAAAAATTTTTAATATGATAATTTTTTATTTATATAAAAAAATCAAAAAAAACAAAACATTTTTATCTTTTTCTTGAGCGTATATATATATACTTTTTATATATAAAAAAACCCAAAAACAAACCATTTTTTTTCCAATCGCTTTTACGCTGTTTGTAAGTGTATCAGTTTATTTTTTCCGCTCATCTTGTGTCCTTACGCAAGTACGAGTGTATTTTCGACATGCACTCACACGTTTCATTTTTCCTCTTTTCCAGGACGGCTGGAAAAGAACGACGAAGTTTCGCAAGAAACCGAAATTTTCATTGTACTATATTGCTATGTTGTACATTTTGGTCCCATAGTTTAAGGAAAGACGACCAGATGCCGCTAAACGAAGCAAGCTATCAGAAGAGTGTTTGCCAACGACAAACTCGTTGGGTTTAAACTTCTGGCTGGTCACGTCTTAGGGGCATCACTACCTCATTAGGGGGGGAGTGATCTGTAGCTGTAAATAATTCCCCAAAATCAATAGTTCATTAAGTGTTCGACATTGGATGCTGACCACGTGTTTAAGTGGACTTGTTTAGCTGAAGGCTTTCGGTCATGCATCCGTACCAGATCACGTTTCGACTCGGCGTGGGACACAGCTCCTACGTTTCATTAGCCAGCTCATAGAAAAGGTCCTCGATATATTGGTAACGAATCAAATATATCTTTCCTGCCTCTTCTCGTCTGACTTCTGATTTCTATCTGACTGGGAACAATCGAATTTAGAAGGTGCTATTGGTATCTAGTTGTAAAACTAGAATATCCTTTGCATCATCAACATTTTGTACCCAGGTCCAAAGTTCTCTTTTTATCATGTGAACACAAATATCCTGGCATATATCTTCCTTCTAAGTATTTCTTGTCAAATATTAGTTAACGCTTTCTGAGGAGAACTGTAAAAAACAAGTGAGAACAGACAAAATATGGTCACACAAGTAAAACAAAAGAGGAGTAGTTACAAGTTGGTTCTAGAGCGGTCCCAGAAGGTCTTTTACATTTTGTCTGATTCTCAGCAGTTACATTGGTTTCTCTTGTTTTCTTGCTGGTCATTTACTTCCAGATGTAGAAAGAGCACATTGCAACTCTGACTAAACACAATAACTATTTGCTGAATAAGAGAAGCTGGGTGTTATTTTTATTTGGCCTCCACCGATTAAAATCCGATAATCCACAACGACCAACAAAACGTAATTATTACTTACCGGCTCACAATATCGCTAAATTCCTCCAAGAAGAGTTCTGCTAATCAGTTTTAGAAAGTGCTAAGACCTACTAAAAATAGATTTTTCATCTCGAAGTCAAACGTTATGAGAGTCGGTCATAGATGAACTCATCCTAATTTGTAGCAGTAAAATGGGATCTACCTCTGGGTAACCACTGTAATTCCAACTTTTGGAACCTTTAATTCTACTCTCATGAGGGATTTCCCCTCAGCGATGAGGGTACATTACAAAATGCTATGCTATCTGATGAAACAACCGCTAAACAATTGGATTAACGTATAAAACAAGCCGAAGTTTCAGTTTGTGGATATGTTTTTTTCGTCATCTGTCCTAAGCCTTCTCATATTACAGACATCTTTTCCATATGATTACAATCACCTTCAAACTTATAGTGTGGATAATTGACTGGCACAATGTTATCACTGTACCTTTTCTATGCATAATAATTCGGATAACTACACCATAAATTATCAAGGGTTAGGTTATTCAGTTCCAATGCTGCTGGATGAACTCCATCAAAACGACCAATCTCTTGTTACTAGTCTACAGAAACGTTTAAAAAAGTACGGCATTATACCTTCATTATATCTACAAGGGAATGTGAAACGTATGCAGAAAGTACAGAATCGTTTAGTGTAAAACGCTTCAAAAGTGAGGGATGGAATGTGAACGAAAGAAGTTTCTCCAACTATACTTTTTGGCTGTAAGAAATATATGGGGAAGCAGGTGACTCTATTTCAGTTCACAACACATATTAATCAGATTATTCTGAAAGTGCAATTCTATCAGTAGGTTACTTTCGAAATCTTGAAAGACACGATGGTGAATAATCAATAAACGTACAGTACAGTTAAATATTTCATGTCGCGTGATTAACTTGTAGTGACCTACTTTTGTGTCGAGAACGCGATAAGTATAATGGAAACAATTATTATTATAACCGATTGTTCCAGTGATTGTTTTCCTGTACTTCTTTTTAAGTGTACAAATGACACTTTTCCTTCCTTTGCCTGTGAACGTGCACGAGCTCACTTCCGCTTGTAAACTTTGGCACGTCTCGACATTCTTGCAAACCCACGAGACCGTCAGCAAATATATTTTATTTCAACCGTAAACAGCCTTTGGGTTTTTGGCTTACCTTGGGACCCACCTCGATAACTCGTACGTAATCTTCTTGAAGTGGTGATCATAGTCAATCGCGACTCGGCGCCATCTACAATTTGTTGTAATAACACAATAAAATACCATACTGTGTGCTTTTAATTTTAGTTCCTGATTGTATATTGTTGAACTTGTAGGATATATCAGGATTAATTCTGTTCCGTTATTTCAAATTCATAGTAAACTTCAACAACCTTCGGCACGGAGCAACACATATACGTTAATTCTTTTCTGAGCCACGACTTTATGACATCTGGAATAAATCAACAGATAGTGTGAACTAAGCCTCATTGATAGAATGCTAGGAGAAATGGTTGATGAAGTACAGAAGTTCTCTCCTCTGGAATAATTCATGTTATTTTATCTCTATTATTTTTCTCTTGCTAGCTATATGAACCCCATTATTGTGGCTTACTATGATGAGTCAAACTTCAGCAGTAAATGATTCCTTAAAATCAATAGCTCTGTAAAACTTCGATATTAGATGCTGACCGGGTTAGTTTTACTAGACTCACTTAGACGAAAGCGCTTGGTCATGTGTTCGAACCAGACCACGAATGAAGACGCCGTGCTAAGCATCCCCTACGACTGCTAGCTAGTTTAGATTATTTACTTCTCGATACATCGATAACCTATCAGATATATCTTCAAACCTCTTCGCTTCAGACAACAGATTTGAATGGGTTGGCACGTACGGGGATAAAAGAAGTTACTAGTTGAGTTATTGTCAAACTCCAAAAACTCTTCTCATCTTTAGAACCAATAACTGGAAGTGTCGCGCCTGATTCTTCAGCTTCTTTGTTGTAGTGACGCTGCAGTGACATGTGCAGATTTCTTTTAACGTCTGTCCAGTTATTCTCTCAATCTTATATTTGCACCTAATAATCATTCATTACTTATGCTTGAAATCCCCAGCGCTTGACATTTGTAGGTCCGAAAACTGGTTTTATCTTACCAAATGGCTGTACATTTACGAGGCAGTGTTTTATGGATTGTGTATTCATACAAAGACGACTTAAACTTAAACATTCCAATCAAAATTTTAATTTTTCACTCATCCGGATGTATATAATTAACGCCTGAAAAATTTGTGGAGTTAATCAACAGTATCAAGTCTTGGCCTTTTATTCAAAAAGAAAAATAATTCGACTTTTACGACAGTATTGGGCATTGAGCGACGAAATTATGCCGGAGGAATGCTTTTTGCGTTACGGTAGAAGGTCAGTTGTTCTATGCTTATACATCAGTAAATCTCAGTGGAATTATATTACGGCGGCTATTTTAAACAATTTTTTTAGGCAATATGAAAACGCGTTTTAGTTTCAATATCTTAAAGTGGTGGAATTATGAGATTAGTAGTTTCAGCATGGTAAATGAACAGAAAAGTAAAGATCAAACGCATTGCCAAAACCAGGATTTGGGACTAGCCAGATTTTAGGGGCATGTGCTCATAGACTGAGTTAAAATTTTTAAGGTTAGGAATCCTAAGATTCGGGTAACTGGGGTTAGGGATGTTAGCGTAAGAATTCTAGGATTATGACTTTTGATAAGCGATTAAGAATAGTGAGTAATTACAGAAACGTTACTATACCGTGAACGTTGAAGTCGACATGGGTACTTATAGAATCATATAATTGAATTAGTCCCACGAATAATTTGAAGCCAAAGACAAGACCACTAACCAGATGAATTTTTCACGTAAGAAAATAACATTCTTGTATGTGAAATATGAGCACAAAGTGAACATAATAAAATGTTATGGAAGACTAGAGGAAACTAGCTTGTAGGTGATGTGTTCTCTAATCAATTCAAACCTGACTGTTAGTCCTAATCTTTGGACATTGTGTCATCCTTCTGAAGGAGAATACTGTGCACCGGTTTAGTCAAAAAGAAATGGGAAGAGTCAAACCAAGTTGTGGCGTTAGTTCATGAATTTTCTGACTGTTGATTCTCCAACATAATCCATCTTCATGCATAGTCGTTCTCCATATCAGTGATGCTATTATAGTATTCGTCTTGGCTATTCCATCTTGTCCTGTTGATATGGTGTAGTAATTTGGCCAAGTTATGCGTTGTTTGTGACTAACTGACCGGTTTTAATGTTTCATTCAAGCATAAAACACACTATAGCTCTTTTGGATGAAATAAAGCTTAGTTGACTCTTTGTCGTTCTCTTAATTTCCGTAATGTCAGATTATATCGTTTCATCTATTTCATAATCGTGGACAGTTAAAGTGACAATTTTTTCATTGATATGTTAATTTTTTAGCAAAACCACATAGATGTAGTATTTTTACCCCGAACACTTTCAAGTTTATTATCTGAAAAGTTTCACAACTAGAAAAATATGGTTATAACGGTACCGTCTTTAGATGATGGGAGCGGAAGCAATAGTATAGTAAGTTTGATTTTGTTATAAGCTTTTCCCACTGATATTTTTGAATACACCTCATCTATAACCTCCTCTCTAACCTCTCACTTTTATCCACTTAGACCCTTAATTCACAGGCCTCATCTTTTTGCAGCTTGTCAAGGTTGAATGTTTATAGCTTGGATATTGTCTCTCATTATTTATTTATTTACTTAAACACATAAATATTGGTACAAAAGGGCACCAGGTACTTATGCGCCACACAAAATAATGAAAGTAGGAAGAGAAGGGATGAAAAGATAAGGCGGACTGAAATGTACAACCAGAAGACTCAGTTAAGAAAGTTAGAACCATTCTTTATGTAGAAAGTAAAAGAAGGTTGCAGCAGGATCGCCACTGGCTTCTATTCTGAGCCATATCTGATAACGTCTCTAGCCACTGTGTTGCACCATCTCTCGGACCCCAACCAGAGAGTCGTGAAGGATCAACAGAAGCTAGCCCTTTGCAGCTCTCTTTCATGCCACGACACCATGTCATACACTGACCTCCTCTCCGCTCTTTCCAACCAGTCCCAGGGTCGGCAAATAATGCACGACGTGGAAGTCTCTGGGGCGACATTCGTAAAACATGTCCAAGCCACCGAAGTCGGTGTTTCAAGATGGTGATACCAATTGAATTATCATCTCTGCGCCGAACACACGATGCCGAACCTCTGCATTACTAACATGGTGTTGCCACTGAAAGTCAGCAATCCTTCGGAGACAACGATGATCGAACACAGAGAGTCGTCTAACATCCTCAACTCGGAGAGGCCACGTTTCACAAGCATAGAGCAAAACTGCTCTCACGGCGCACTTTAGATCCGACCTTTTACAGCCAGACTAACATCACGAAGGCGCCAAAGATGGCCCAGATTTTCATAAACCGCTCTGGCTTTCATTATACGTGCATCAATCTCATCACTCACGCCACCACCAGCACTTATATAGCTACCTAGATACACGAACTTCTCAACTACTTCAATCTGCTCACCATCCAGGGTGAGTACAGGATGAGAATCCTGCCAGTCTTGTAGGAGTACCTTGCACTTGGAGGGTGCAAAGCACATGCCGTACCTGCGGACATTGATTGCCAACTGATTAAGTGCGGATTGCATGACTTGAGCATTATCGCACAGTAAGACAATATCATCCGCATACTCGAGGTCGAGAAGTCGTTCTCCAGGCAACATATCCACACCGCCATTACTTACATCCATCAGAGTTGTTTCCAGGATGTCGTCGATGACAAAGTTGAAGAGGAATGGTGAGATCGGGCAACCCTGCCTAACCCCACTGCTCGAATGGAACAAGGGAGAAAGGTGGTTGTATGCCCTCACTCTGCCTGAGGTGTTCGTATACAGGGCCTTTAAGATGTTAATGAACTTCTCAAGCACACCCTTCTTCAATAGACAATCCCAGAGAACAGTCCTGCAGTCCTGGCTTTACTCAAGGAAATTAGAATATATTCAGCAGACTACATAATTATGTAGCATTCATCCAAGTGCTTTTCCTCCTGACATCTCAGTTCCGTATCTTGGCAGATCGAACATAATTTTCCTTCAACAGGCTTATTAATACTTAAATATTATAGTACTACTGAAATATAGATTTATATTTACTAACATGTAGTTCTACTTTGAATTCGTAACAAAGGTGAGCTTAACTAATAAATATACATGTATTAAGTCGCGAGAAATCTTTTAATAAAATAGTGTGAAGGCACTTGTTAGATTCTTCTAGGTTCAACTTAAATGTGGTTTCGTGTTCGTAATACGTTCGTTTGTACACTTCTGAAGCATTCTGACAAACAAAAACGGTCCCCTGTTTTATGCATTGTTACATGTTCTAGCTTATACTAAGCTGACACATGTTTCATTCTATTGAAATCGATAGTACTAATAACACTATATCTAATTGAGGAGATAAAAGCAAAATAAAATGAACGAAAATTGAAGAGAAGTAATGCGCCGGTACAGGTCATCATATCTGTTAGTAGTTAAATAAATGTTAACAAAATGAAGGAAAATACTTTGAGGTTTGAATCGTTATAAAAATCGACATACAAAACAATGAAAAATCCTGTTCAGTAGTATTAACTAGTTGGAAAGTTACGGAATTTCACCGTCAAATGTTGTGTATAGACAGTAGCTTTTAGTCAGTTGTGTTCCTTGTAGGTATAGATTCCTTTCGTATTTGCGAATCCTTGTTAACTCCGGGTAGATGGGGAGAAATAAATTGCTTTCTTTGTTTCATCTTTATTCTATTGTTCAAATATAAGTCACCCATTGTTAACTCTCTCTGCCGTACTAATCTTCATCTTTCGGAAACTCCCTTCCATCAAAGTTTATATTTGTTAAAAATCATTTGTATTTGAGATTCTTTTTATAATCCCTCATGTCTTAAAATTTAGTATTCAAAGTCAACACTATATGAGATTAAATATGAAAAGTTTGATTATATTAAGTGTATCAAGTTATGTTCTAGTGTCAACATATCAAGTATGTATTGTAAATAAAATTAGGCAGTCTCGGGTCCATGGAACATTTATCTGATGGGCTTGGGTTAAAGGAAAAAAACAGAAGATAATGAAGTAAACCATCCAATATCTCATAACATTAATTTGATCCTATTCCATATATTATAAATTTCAATGTTACATTGTAACTATTTACTTGTCTCCCGCAACCTACATTTCTGTTTTCTTGATTTTTACACTACGTCAAGGCAAGTATAATCATTTGTCTCTAACTAGTAAATTCGTAAAGTTATAGTAATGATGCTTTTTTTCTGTTGTAGAATTCCACTTCTTTCCTCCCGGTAAGTTTCTGACCATAGACTATGTTTATTTACCATATATGTCCATTCATTACTGATCCTTTATCAAATGTCTGAAATCACATAAATCCTGAAGCAAAAATTTTGTTAGGAAACAAGGGAGAGAAGGTTAGTATGGTCAGTAAAAAATAATCAGAAATAGTAGTGAGTAAGTGATACAGCTCAGTTAAAAATACAGCCAATAAACATTTCTTTGAAGTGAGAAAGCTTACCTCATTGTTATGATGGATGTATTAAAAAACAGAAGCAGGAACGCTACTGGATACTATTTTGCATTATATCTGATAACCCACCAATTCACTGAAATACATCATTTCTGGGGATCTGACTGAGCATTCATGATGGATTGAAATTCTAATATTATAAAACTATCTTCCACACCGCGCCGTTATACTATAATTTGACCCATTTTAAAGTGTTTACAGTCGTAATCCGTAGTTATTATTTGCAGTTTTTTTAAAAATTGCTTTCACATTGTGTTGTTATCGAATATAGATGTTAGATTAAAAAAGCAGCCGTCAGAATCTCTGATTTAAAACTGGTTATGGTCATGAATCTTAGAAGTTAAAAGTAACGAACGATTTAAGGTATATGTCGCTAGTCGTTATGGAAATTGAATGAGGCAAATTTATTGACTTTCCTATCAATCAGAATCTTGATTATGATGCTTAGCCTCAAAATAAGTGTCAACTGTGGCCTGTGTTCGTTGTAGATAGTATCATGCTTTCTACCTTCATTGTGGCGTAAAGTCAAACAATAAAGAGTGAACTCATACCGCGTGTCTGGTTGGTTCTGTGAAAAGTTTCTTCAACTAAGGTTCAGTTATTTTTCTTTGACTGTTCGGTAGAAGTTTCATTTTACCTGAACAGCAATTTCCCTATATCCCATTAACTGGCTCGTTCAGTCAGTCAGTCACATACATCAGTTCGAGTTGCCATACCACATTAACACAGAGATGTGATTGTCGATTCAAATCTCATAGTGGTAGAAGTAGTAAGAGTATAAGCAGTAATCCGAAAGATTAGGGTTTGAAGATGTTATTGAAGAAGTATAATCCAATGGAAATAAATTTGGGAAGAGAAAAAGGATACGGACATGAAGAATTCAGAAGATTAGAATTTGGCAGAGTACAGAGAGTGGATGCACCTTCGCCATTGCAAACGATTTTGAGCCATACCATTCAAGGTCTCTAACCATCGATTGCTATCATCTCGCGAATCCCAACCAGGTAGTCTACACCTACCAACATGGCTCAGTCCAATTGTCAGTGACTTCATGGATTTGCGCCACGTTTTGGTCTGGCCGCCCCTAGCTTTCTTCCAACCTACGCCTACACCATAAAACGTTGCACGTCGGGGCAGTTGGTGGTTGGGCATACGTAACGAGCCACAAACTGGCTCGTTAAGGTATGTACTATATTATTTAACCGTTATTAAGTTAAAATGGTAGATTAGCATTGTATCACGTAGGTACATACTTCTTGTCGTTTCAACTAAATATTTTTTCTAACCCGTAATTTTCACTTGACCATTATTCTTTACTTTGAATCTAATCAACAGATGACTCAAGAACAGAAAGATTGGTTGTTAGCTATTGTTGACTGTGATCAACCGAAAATGACAAGAATGCTTAATCAACACCCTGAATTAGCCGTATGGAAGGTAATTTTATTTCATTTATATTTTGTAACAGCTAATGGTGAATGTGTGCTGTACAATTACATCGTTGTGTTTTTAGAATCCTCTTATTACGGACACTGCTTACAGTTCGAATTCATATTCCTAAATGTATGAACCAGAATAATGCTTAGCGTAATGTTTAATTAAAGTTGTTTTTCTTTGTAACTATTAGACTCGAACGAAGCCGTATATAATTTTTAATAGTTGTTCTCAATTGTATTTCAAATTGGTGTTAATAAACTGCCGATCAATACTTTATCAATATACAAACCCACATTAATTTTACATAAGATTTGGAATCATTTTGCATTTAAAGCCTCAGAAAATTGTGGTCATATAGAATTAAAAAAATAATCTTGTACAACAATAATTTTAACCATTTACAAATGGAATGTGCTGCGGGAGTTCATGTTTAAGAAAATGTCTATATTAAAATGGCTGTTAGTCATGTGAAACATTTTTCAAGGTCTATCATGTGACTTATGGCCCTGTTTAATATCACTTGATAAAGCGGCCAATCAAAATGCCGACTCCTACAACCTTATCCGTGAGCTGACCAATGACACACTACCACTAAGTCCGCAACCACTCAGTATGTAATTACATGAATATTCTGAATTTAAGACAACTCTCTGTATGAAAATAAATGTTAATTGACTATTTCGTCGTGTACATGTCGGTTTTCCCTACTCAGTAAGTTAACCTCTCCCATACTTTGTTTTCTCACTAGGGGTATGTTTCAATAGGTTTCGATTGTATGTCGTCAATAATCGTCAGTGCTACTACGTGAAGTATAAGTTATTTTATTATTTCTTCCTATAGTATGGAGGGGGCCCTCAGTTTAATACAGCTTTATAAGTAGGGGAAATATATTTAGTAATGACCATTGCAAACATTCATTCTTGACCAGAAAACTCAATAAACCTGCCAAGAAAGATTAGTTCGATGTACATTTATTATGTGTAGATATATTATATGACGTTGAAAATACAGTTACAATGTGACGTACTGCGATGCCAACAATGAATAACGAAAAAGTGTGTTTTTAACGGTGATGAAAAATACAGTCTTTATATAACAGTAGAAGACTAAGCAGAAAAAAAACACTAGTTCGAGGTTGTACAAAACAAATTTTATGATAATGCTTCTTGAAAGTTGGTTTGGCAGATCTAATCACTATAATCTAACTAATAGCTTCAATTCTCATATGGTTATTACATCACATACGTCAACAGCTTATTTTCTGTGCCGATATCTGTTCAAGTGTGTGTGTGTGTGAATAGGTGGTAAATATGAGAACATACTTTTAATGTGTTCAAATCTATCTAAAATTACTATTTTCTCATAGTTTCATTTGACATACCATTAGCATTTACTTATCTGTCTGCTATGAAACATATTACCAACTGATCGGGTCGTAATATTGATTTTCTATCTGTTTAATCATAAGTTGCTCAACAATAATTATTTATATGGTTGTATGGTTGTGTACAACTTTCTTATAGTCTCATATGATCATGCACACAATCTTAGTGTATTTCGACTCTAGTCGATTGTCAATTATTTTTGTTTGTTTTTTAGACTAGTATCAACGGGGTAAGTGAAAAAAGTATTGTGTATAAAACTTATTAGTTAAGATAAATTACAAAAATATTGGATTTATTTTTTTTTAACTCTAGTACATGATTAAAACCTTTATGTTAACTGAATACATTTGGTTAAAACTGAGATTGTGCCTAATAGTTAGAATCAAAGGAAGTATTTGAAATAGGCGTTACTAAGATCATAGTTCTTTCGATATCGTAACTGATATGTATTTGTGAAACAGCCGGGAAATTATTTTCCGGTTTTTTACGATATTTTGTAAGCCGTCTCTCCAGAGAACAAATAACTCCCGATCCGACACACCTTTTTTACATAGATCTGTACATTTCCCTAATTTTCTGTGGAATAATTTCGCTTATAGTAGTACTGTAACACATGCAAACTTCACTTGAATAAAAACACTTTCAAGTAATATTTGCGATCATAAGTTTCTTTGAATTATATTACTAGCGTATTGTAGAACGATCAAATGAGCACTTCTGAGGTTAGGCCTAGGGTACTTGGGAAAGATGACAATTTAATTGATAAGATTGTAAATCCAAATCAACTAATTTAGTTAGGACATGTATGATGTATATCCTACCACCACCTGCCTCAATATGCAATGTTGAATGGTATAAAGTTAGGTTGGAAACTGGGGCAGGAAATCTAGGTTGAAGTTAATGGCTGTTGGTTTGAGTCATGTTAATACGTCCAGACTACGTGGTTAGGGTTTGCGCTTATCGTAACCACAGTTAACTTACTTAACAGACAATGTTATTTGATCAGTAACAATTCGCATATTTCTTTGTACTATTATGATCACTATCATCTGTATAAATGTGTACACTTGATCACATGACAGACTCTTGCTAAAATATTGATAGCTTAAATATCTCTCAATGATTCATTCTCTTCCCCGTGCATATACGTACGCGAATCCTATTATTAGCCTTTGCTTTGCCTTGCTGTCCCCTTATGCTATTTGACTATAAATTTGCCTCTGTATTTGCTCGCATACACATATTCGCCTCTCTGCTTCAAATTCGTCTGGTGTGCCTATGGCTTTGTTATCTGTGCTATCCGCTAACAAACTGTAGTTGCCGCTTCTTATTGCCTTTTGATTTCAGATACCGTCGAGATTTATGTAATGACGTTTACAAAGGTGATTGATTAACGAAGCAAAGCCATTACAATGGTTGTTGTGCCTCCATATCAATCAAGATGGCGTAGATGCATTCAGTTGTTGTTGCCACTTAGATTATGAGTTCCAAAACTGTCTCATACCTTTATATCCTACGGGTTTATATTCTTTTTCTGGAACTGTATTTTCTATGCCCACTCTTTTCTACAATTACTGATACTGTTACTACCTCTTCTGAGAGCCTCCAAAAACTCGCTATCATTCCTAGAACACTGTCACAAATTATTTGATATTCGTGTCGTTAACACTCTACAGTCTTACTTGTATGGTTTGGTATCAGACCAATGTACGTTTATGCCAGGCCCTACGTCAATTTTGACTTGAATGGTATTCATTTCATAATTTACTTTTTCAATTACAAATCATTGGGATCAGCAGGTTCCAATTCATTGTGATTCATTAAAAGTAGTTAGAATTAGTTATCATTTTAACCTTGGTTTATATCTCATACCTTATTTTATGGACTAGTAAATTATTGTATTTGATACACTTGTCACTTAACTCAGTTTACAGGGTTAGATATATCTCTGTCTAACTCAATTCACTCTCATTGGAACCAAATGGTTAGAAATATGATCGATTTGTAACTCATTTTTCATGTTAGTTGTAGAATTTTGATCTCACTATATTTGTAAATTATGCCCATACTGTAAATTATTGACTAATCAGTGTTAAGTGGTACTGGATTCACATGAACAGTGCATCTAAGTTCGGTTTTAATCGAGAGTTTTTCTTGGTTCGTCAGAATATGTATGTATATATAACAAGCTCTGCAGTTAAACCATCTAGTTCGAAAAACTCAACACCATCAAAGTATATATATATCAGTTATGTTTCAATATAACACATAATGTCACTAACGCTTTACGTAATATGTGTGTTTTGGTGAGCCAAGTACTTAGACCTGTACTCGGTTACTAATTTATATTCGATCACAATTTGTCTGTTTCATTAACTATTTTTAAAGTTACATAATCAGAATTGGTGAATACATTAACATACTTTATTTTAACGCCACTCATTGAATGGATGTTTATTGAGATGTTCATATCTTTTCCTATAATGACAATACTTTGACAGTTTTTTAATATATTACCTCTTTCTTAAAACCTTGATTACTTGTTAATCTTAGAAATAGATACGTTTCCTGTCGCATACAAAATGTTATAACACTACAATTTGTTTTAGTTCCTATATGTTGTCATTTGATATTAAGAACTAATTAATCCCATCATGTCTTCTAGTAATCGTACAACATTCAATTTTTTTATTCTCACTAATAACATATTTGTTTTTCCTCCTATCTTTGTTTGAATACTGTTTTCAATCTATGGTGAATATGGAAAATTCGATTAAAAAACAGTATGTAAGTATTGATATTCACATATGTTCCTTGATGATGTATATTATGTTGTTATGCACTAGTTATTTAGTAATGTTGTGGGAGTATTTATTTATGTATCCTTTTATTTACGAATCGACTTATTCTATTGTGTAAGTTTTCACTTCAGATTTGAGAAATTTATATTTCTCTAATTTACTACTTTATCGTAGTGGTTGGTTATTCAATTCACCGAGTCTTTGTTGGGAGGTAAAAAAATATACACAGCTTATACATTGGTTCCAATACGCTTTTATTTGGATAGTTTAACTGTTGGGACTGCTCCAAAAAAGCATGAAGAAGCTTTCATAGGCTCTAGAAGAACCAAAGAGATCCCAACCAATCAAAACCTGGTAAAACCTTCTAAAATATCAACGTCATATGCTGTGATCAGACAATTGTGTAGCTTTCCTACTTGGGTATTGACTGGATTATAATAATGTTATAGCCTATACTGTAAACTATAAATACCCTTGTTTTTCTGTACATTTTTGACTCTTACCCAATAATCGCTTCCCCAGCTTTTCCCGTTTTTCGATTTGCGACTGCGGTTCTACATGTTTGAGTGCCGATAGTTTTGTGCCGTAATCAAGTAAAGGATATAACATTAATCGACTCAAGCAATGTTGAGTTTGGGATGTAAGGCTATTAAACCAGGTCGCCACATTAAAAAAAGGACAAAGAAGCTCAGAAGTGCAAAAATCGTTAGAATGACTCAGTAGAAAAATACAAAAAGCCATGAGGAAAATAGTTACGTAAAGAAAACCGGATTGTAAGATTGGTGGTCGCTGTGTCTTTCTTGGTGTGCACAGAACGAATTGCGACACAACGGATCATTTTTTAGCAATCAGTTAAGTGGAACCCGTCACTATACATCAACTTCATTGACTATGAGAAAGCGTTTGACAGTGTGAATAGAACATTATGGAAACTTCTTCGACACTATGGAGTTCCTGAGAAGATTGTCAACATTATCTGGAACTCATACGACGGACTACAGTGCAAAGTAGCGCATGGAGGACAGGTGACAGATGCGTTCCCAGTGAGGACCGGAGTCAGACGAGGCTGTCTACTCTCCCCCTTCCTCTTTCTTCTGTTGGTTGACTGGATTATGAAGACTTCGACATCTGGGAGAAGAAGTACAGAATACAGTAGACAGTTTGAATGCAACTGGATGATTTGAGTTTCACAGTTGACCTGGCCCTTGTATCGCATGCACATCAACAAATACAGCTCAAGACAACCAGTGTAGCAGTAGCCTCTTCATCAGTAGGCCTCAACATACACCAAGGAAACAGCAATATCCTCAAATAAAACACGGAGAACACCAACCAAATCACACTTGATGGTGAAACTCTGGATGATGTGGAATCTTTAACGTACCTGGGAAGCATCATCGATGAACAAGGAGGATCGGATGCAGACGTAGAGGCGAGGATTGACAAAGCAAGGGCGGCTTTCTTACAATTGAATAACATCTAGAACTCAAAACAGCCGTCAACTGATTTCAAAGTCAGAATCTTTAATACGAACGTCAAGACAGTCCTACTGTACAGAGCTGAAATGTGGAGAACTACTACAACCGTCATCAAAAAGGTACAAGTATTTATCAACAGTTGTCTACGCATGATACTCAACATTCACTGACCGGATATCATCAACAACAGCCTTCTGTGGCAGAGGAAAAACCAGCTTCCAGTTGAGGAGGAAATTGTGAAAAGATGTTGGAAGTGGATAGGACATACACTGAGGAAATCACCAAACTGCATCACGAGGCAAGCGCTAACTTGTAATTGTGAAGGGAAGCGGAAAAGTGGAAGGCCAAAGAGCACATTACGTCGGGAGATAAAAGCAGATATGAAAATGATGAACAACAAGTGGAGAGAACTGGAAAGGATTGCTCATGATAGAGTTGGATGGAGTGTGCTGGTTGGTGGCCTGTGCTCCTCCATGAGGGTGACAGGTGTAAGTAAGTAAGTGTCTTTCTTGTTGCCTTCTGACATCAACGATTCTATTGTATCCCTTACACAGTTTCGGTTAAACCATAGTATTTTATGACTTATTGTCATTTGTCTGTTTATTGAATATCAGGCTACTTTTACTCTGTAACAACCAACCTTCATTGTATGGTACCTACTAACGCGTTAGATTTTTGTCGATGCTTGTTTACAGCCTTGTAAATAAATATACTTTTAACTATACATAAAGAACATTTCAGAAACATGTTTAATTAAATATCCGAAATCACCTTATGTCTGATGTCTTTATTATTGATACCTTATAGTCATAAATTAAGAATATTGCACTTATACCACATGCACGGGACTGTGAATTGTTAGGTAGGTATCTGACCGGTACAGCAATCCTTAGTCGTTGCTAAATGTTAGCTGGATCGTCTGTATATCTACTGGAACTGCTAAGGATTATTTCAGTAAAATATTCAACTATATTTTATCAACCATGTTTAATTTACTTTTGAGGAACTATTTTTACTTTTTAATGGATGAGCCATGTTTGCATTTTTTTTCGATCTACAGACTGCACTACATTATGCAGCTAAATATGGAGATTGTGCTGCTATCCGATTGTTACTTGGAAATTATCATGTTCAAGTTGATGCTCAGACATGTGTAAGTTTTATACATTGCTTGCATACGTTTAATCCTATTGTGATTAATGAAATGCAGATGATATAGTCGTATTTGGTGAAGACGCTGACAAAATATAGTCTTTTGATCACCAAGAGCAATAATACAAGGATATTTGAGATGAGTTTTTTCCCCTATAAATGCGAGATTTTGCTTCAAAACTGGTCTGTATCAACAGCTGAACTAGTGATAGAGAGTAAAGTTATTGAGTAAATTGACTTTACTTATCTAGTAAAGGCTGATATCTGACGAAGTCTCCCCATTAATTTAGAAAGATCAGTTGGCGTTTGCCTACTTGAGTCACTTTTGGCGTAGACGCAATTTCTGTCTGCAAACCTATACGCGTGTATACTGAGCAGCAGTCTTATATGTACTACTTCGATGTTGTGAAACATGGTTTACGAAAGTAGAAGACAAATTGAGCTACAGGTTTCTATCATAAGTATCTTCAAAACATTGCTCACATATTGTGGACCGAGCAGTTTAGAAATATTCAAGTTGGGCATAGGGTACTAGGCAAGATAGGCAAATCGGTTGATTAGATCTCAAACCTACATCATCTGAGATGATTATGACATGTTTAAGGACCTGGTTGAGGTCCGTGTGATAAGCTCGGTCAGTTCATAATGGTCTAGATTCGTTCAATATTTATCTTCCTTTCGATTTTGAACTCCAGTACTCCTCCACACATACCTTTCCACTCTGTATTTTTGCTATGAAGGTAGCTTTTAGTGAGGGAATTCTCAACTACCGAAATTGATGAGTAGAATGATAATCAGTAGTTAAACGCAATGACGTAATATGATCCAGCGATGGGTACTTATAAACCCATATAATTGACTTCCTTACGCCTGTTACCCCCAATGGAACCTAGGCCGCCGACCAGCATTCTCCAACCTACTCTGTCGTGGGCCTTTCTTTCTAGTTCTATCCAGTTGTTGTTCATTCTTCTCATGTCTGTTTCCATTTCTCGTCGTAATGTGTTCTATGGTCTTCCTCTTCTCCTTTGGCCTTGAGGATTCCATGTGAGGGCTTGCCTTGTGACACAGTTATGTGCTTTCCTTAATGTGTGTCCCATCCATTCTCAGCGCTTTTTCCTCCGCTGGAATCTGGTTTGTTCTCTTCCACAGTAGATTGTTTCTGATAGTGTCTGGCCAATATAATTGACTTAGGCCTCCGAATAATTAGAAATCAAAGAGAAGACCTAACCAGATGAACTTTTTCATGTAATAAAATAACATTCTTGTATGCGAAATATGAGCACAAATTGAACATAATAAAATATTATGGGAGATTGAAGGAAACTAGCTTTTAGGTCATGTGTTCTCTATTTAATTCAGACTTTACTGCTAGGCTTTATTTTCTGGCGTCTTATCACTTTTCCCAATGTTTAGCCTTTCTTACTGTCGTCGCTATCACATTATTCTTATCTGTTCTGCAGATCATCATGTTATTTTTTATCTCGTAGTACTAATGCAGTATAGTAACTTATATCAGCCCATGTTAATGATGTCTGTCTTTTTGATCAATAATGATTACACACAACATTTTTTCTGACTTCATTTGTCCTATTTAAAATTTAAAGTATGTACATTTACCCATAAAATAATAGATTATCTAAGAGTAAAGCATGGTAAATAATTATTAAAAAATGTAATCGAATAAAATATTTTGAAGTAAAATGTCAACATATTTGAATACTTTAGTATTGTTGATGAGTATTCTGCGTCAATAAATCTCCTACACAAAGATTGGAATACGAATGTTTTACTGTTCCAATTCTATTTCTGAAAGTTATTCAGTATTCAGTATTAAAACTACACTAGAAAATTGTTGAATAGTTTGCTTAGTCAAGTACATTTGATTTAAATTACTGCAAGTATTCAGTATTCAGGCTAAAAGTAGCATAGGTTAACATTAATTATGTAATGGTGTGTACATGTCGAAATAGCCATTTAGGGTTACCCCGGCTTCGGTATGGGCACCCGGGCAGTATCACAACCCACACACAAATCAAATGACTTGTGTGGCCCACATATATTTAGTGCCTCTTTGTATCAATGTTTATGTGTTCAAATAAATAATAAATAAATATCAGGGTTACCTGAATCTCAGTAGTTTGCTCCAGTTTATGTTCGTTCTTAAAAACTTCACTCATATCCGAAAGGAATTACGTAAAAATGTTCAAACTACAGGTCGAACTAATTCCATTGTACTCCGAGGATCTAACAGCAGGTCATGTATATGAAACTATCATGGTCCCGATACGGATAATTTCACGATTTACTCCTCTCCCGTAAAGTAATCAAGAGCGATGTATAAACTACCCAACTTTTATTAATGCAACTATAATAACTAAACAAAATATTTGAAGTCATATGTTGTTTTTTAAAAAAAAGTAAAATATCTTAATTGTGTTTTTCTGTTTTCATTTCTCTTTCCCTGTTACTGCTTTCATTTCCACAGGAGGTGAGTTTTTATAAACAATTAGTGTTATTTACGTATGTGGTAATTAATTTTTCAATTGCAAAACAGTTAATAATATGTTCTGTGTTATAGTTCCTCAGTTATATACTCAGTAAATCTTATCAATTAATCTGATCCATATAACTATATATTTCTGTCAATGAATATAATATATATAATTTATTGTAGGGTATGACTCCTTTACATTTGGCCGCTGCCAACGGGAATGAAGATGTTATAATCTTATTAACTTCCGTGTACAGTAAGTACATCTGTTCATTTATCACTATCATTTTCAGTAATTATTTATAAACCGTTTCGAACGATTTGTCGAATTGCTATTGTTTAGTCTAATACTACTTTTTTTTCTCACCTTATCAATAATTAATTTTCACTGTGGTAATGAAAGCTATGATTTCAAATTATTTTATGAATTACACTAATCTGTATATATTTATTCAATGTGATGTGATAGTGTGGGCGGCTACAGACATATGCGCTGTTAAGTTCCAAACTATAACGGAACTATTGGCGAACACCTGTTCATTACGTATTGGTTTTGTTTAGCTCTCCATCTGATATCATTCTGATAATGGAAAATCCTAGACAGACCACATGTTGTTGCGAGGCTACATGGTATGTCGAGTTCCAAGTGTGAACAGTAGGCTTATTTACCTGATTAATGTCTATACCCATATTTCCCTATCTGAATGAGTTCCATAATTTATATATGTGCGTATTCAGTGGGCTTTTGGTGATACAGCTACTTACATACTCTTAATATTCTTACTTTGTGCAATTGATGGGGCAAGAATTGAGAAGTATGCATTAGTAATTGAACTGAATTGACGAACAAAGCAGTCTGTGACAAAAAACTGTCACCTTATTTATTACTTTAGTAATTGCTACCAACCTTTCAAATGTATCTTGGCTCTGTATTCTTATAAATATGTTCCGAATAAATACATTGTGAATGGAAACTTTATCCATCATTAATTCAAGATTAATAATGTTATATATATAACTTATTACTTATTATTATAATAAATAGTGTGGTATTTTCTTTTGTTTTAATCTCAATATAAATTTGTGATTCGCTTTCAGATGTTCTATTGTACCAAACTTTTATCTATAATGAATAAAAATAAATAACAGATAACAGTTTCAACGTGATTATGTATTATTCATTTGCTTTTATATAGAAGCTAGAACTGATATACGAGATTTTTGTGGACGGTTACCAAGCGCTTATCTACCCAAAGAAAAGGAGGCATTAGCAAGTGAGTTTTCATCCATGTGTTGCTCATCACTACCCTCAGCGTGTAAATTTGGTTTGTTTCATTTCTCTTCCCCCTGTTTTGACTTTTTTATATTCATTGTTGTAACATTTAAAGCGTGCTTCCAAATCAAGATCGATTTAATCCTCTATTATGGTAAGCTAATGTACATAAAACAGAATTCGCAGCCATCCCTATAACTTACTCACCAACACTATGTAGGAGAATTTGAGAGTTGTCTCACTGTTCTTTAAATTCGACTAATCTTGTGATAGCATCCACGACTATGACAGTAAATTTCTAAATTTCTATTAAAGAATAGTCAGCAGGCACAAATGAAAAATCCATTTGTTTTCTGTCATATGGCATAAAACTATTAATAAAGTTTGTGAGATTTATATTTCCTTTGTATAGAGACCATCATCCTGTATCAAGACGTTATTATCCATTCATAGATTGGGATTGACTGATATCTTCAATCAATAATTACGAATGGTAACTTTTGAGGACTATTTATTGGTCAATATGATATGTATATTTCCTATTGTAATTGACCTAATCATATTCGTTTCCTCTTATCACTAACTTTATTTTGACCTTTGAACTATTATTATACGATCCTTGAGTTATCATCAGTTTATTGATTACTATTCACAGCCACATTCGGCTAATTATTGTACAAATGTTATTATCTATTTTATGGGTCGATATGGCTTGTTTGGTTGGTATATAAACTAAGTATGTTTGAAATACAATGATTCATATCACTGAGGCTGTTATTGGTGTTTTGGACTTAACTGGCTGGGCTAGGCAGATCGCAGGACCGGTTAGCACTCTAGTCTGCTCGTACGGGTTCCGTGTCACTGTTCCAATCGATAATTCGTTGCTTTCTAATTGGCGGTCTCATCAAGTCACCCATCCACTCGGCCACAGACATAACAAAGTCATTACCTGAATTTGAAACACTGTCAGTCACATTCTGAAAAATAGCAGTCTGGATAATTACCTCATGTGGTATAGATCACATTTTCAGATAGTAGGTTATTTAATATTTATATTTGACACTAAAATTATTCTTTGACTCAGTATACACTGTAAAACATCTAATATTATATCACTGATAGTCAAATACTGACTATTCCTATGATGTTATAAATAGGTTTTTCTTCCTTCTGGTTTGTTATTCCAACTATTCACTACAATAGTTTGCTATTATAGGACTGGTGTGAGGATAAACGTCATCTTTTCAGTGTTAAGAAAATGAGCAATATCCGACATTTTTCCGTTCATTTAATGTGTCAATGCTGCATATAATTGTTATTTTTACTGGTGACTTCATGTTAACGATCTAAAGCTGTTTACATGTGCCTTCTGTGAACACCTTACTACATCACATTCCAGCTTACCGGATGAAGAAGTCAAGTAAAGTCAAAGTTAGGGTTTTAAATTAAATACTGAGTGAAAATTGTGTTCCTATATTCTGCGAAGTATGTGTGCTCTGAATGAGCACAGAAATGTTAGATATTGGACATAATGAGCATCCATAAGGAATTTCACGGATAGGTGTCCTACCTCACTAACCTGTCCTGACTTCGAGTCATGAATCTAAATCTAGCAATTTATTGTAATATAGCTTATAATTGTGCTATACGTATATTTACTTTTTAATATCTTTCTAACCTTTCGACTAATGTCTTTCATGCTACTACAATGTTAAATGCGATTCAGATTTCGTAAGTTGATGGAGAGGCATTGCGAAGCATGTGTGCATAAAGGACACTTGTTGCTAGTTGAATCATAACTTATTTTACTATTGTTCAGTAGTGTTTAACTTATCCTGGCGACAAACAGTAAAAAAACGTATCATTCACAATGCTCACACATTTTTGATGTTGTGAAATATTATGTTGTGCAAAACTTTTGTATTTCACATAAATGTTAAACTGTTTGTAGTATCATTATTCTCAAAATATATGTGCAGCACCTTTAACCCAATGACCGAGTTACACTTAAGATTTACTTGAAAGCATGGAACTATTACTGTAAATAAAATGTAAACACAGTCTCATATAATGAGAGATTAGAGCGTCATTTATACAGTAAGAAGCATAATCAAAGAATAGAACAATGACACATACTGTACATTAAACAACAGTACGCAATTGTATCAAGCGAGAATACTAGCAAATAATAAAAAAAGAACTATTACTGTTGAAGCTTCTAGAGACTGTCAAATGTTATTGAAATTACGAAGTGATCCAAATTAAACAGCCATCGAAAATCCGGGAGGCAATGGATGTCTATTTTATCTTAGTGGGTGCTTAACTTCAATCAGTCCAACAACCTCCACAAACTCGCATACTGATAATTATTTTGTGTTCATCAATAACTAACTTGGAGGAGAAATTCTCGGAGCTCCAGTGAGAAGCTGTGACTAGCGGAGTCCAACCGTGTCAAGTATTAGTCAGTTCCCCGCCGAAAACGATGAAAGGTGGGTATTCAATATCGCAAGCTAGCTGGAGTTAAACCCGTTGACCATCAGATTCCCGCCCAGCAGTTTAAAAGTTCTCTATGCAAGACCTGAAGGTCTTGGGTTTGATCTATGTTGGAGTCGTGGATGCGCTCTGCCGAGAAGTCTCATATTAGGACGAAACAGCTGTCCAACGCTTCCTGGTTTCCAGTGTTTTGTTTTATGCATGTTGTCAATTTTCAACGCATGTATTTTGCATGTTTGCGCTACTACTGGTGTTTTTTTTACAAGGCGATGGCTCAGTGGTGGTTTAAGCGCATAAACTGTGTTAAATGTGATAATGTTTTATATATATTACTTCGGTTTGAGGAGCCTGTGTAAATCTCTAGTCCTCATTAACTTATTGATAAGCGCATGAAATTGTACTATCATATTGAGTTGCACTAATTTACATTTAACTGTTGGGTGTATCGCTCAGTGATGTTCTGCAGAATTGAATATTTAATTGTTTTTTTTACTTGCTGTTGTGTTTAGAATACCTTCCAAATCCTTTGCGCGTCCTGTTGCAAAATTGTAATAATTGTAAGTGAGAGTTCGCTGTTTTGCTTTGTCAGGTTTCAATATATATATATATATATATATATATATATATATATATATGTTTGTACTTTGACCAGAATCTTGAAAAGAAGCCTAGAAAATACACAACTCCCTGTTACGTATGAAAAATGTCCAATTACATATTTAGCTTATTATCAGCTCTGTTATGCCTAACATACACAAGAATATTCATTCTAAAATACTGTGAACACCAGCTTTTCTATGGAACACGGTTTTTATTTTACACATTACATTACCTCAAAACTTGGTGAATAACTGGATTATTTTTCCGTCAAAACAATCAATGATAAAAACTTGTAGTGGGTTTCCATGGAACTACGAATGTGAACAGACAATGATTATTTGGTATTTGGATTTTATGTATATGACAGTTCAAATTATATCAGTTTTAATAAATCTTGGAATAAGTTGACTTTTAAGTTAGTCCGATTTTGTATCTATCCAAACGTTTACGGAGTTGTATATGCAGCAGGTATTTAGTGAATTTTCATTTCACATCTGCTGATAGATTTATCAACAGCTTGCAAAGAATGGTTGTATGAATGCTAGCTGCCCTAAGTATCTTGTGCTAATCAACAGGTTTATAGAGGCATTTAATTGACAAGTGTTTCAGGTCTCGGAACACCGTACGAAATTTTGGTATTTGTAGATTACATTTTCGGGTAACATTACCATTTTTCTTTAAATTACAATGGAGATCCTTGGAGATAGTGTATGACAAGTGTGATGCACTTGGTAATAAATATAACTGATATTTTGAACATAGGTAACTTTAATGTGATTTCTTTTAATATCTCTGAATCCATTTAATTAACTTCTTCACTTGCAGATCTATATTTGTTAGTGAGCCAACCAGAAACAAATCGATTGTCCTCTGATCCTGTTTCAAACGAAGATAATAGTAATAATGAATGTAGTAGTGATTGTGGGTTAGTGAATAATCTCAATGCTCTACCTCCTACACCAATTAATTCTCATTTCCCATGGAGTCAAAATAATCAGAACTTCACAGAAGAATTGCGTCGACAATCATCACTTTCACGAGGTCTAGGTTCAGTTCGTAGCGGGAGACGTGATTCTTCAAGAGATAGGCATAAAATGTACAAAACCCTACCACCTGGAGTAGTCAATAAAATAATGTGCTTTCCAATGGTAGATTTGAAATTCGTAAATACGGGTTCCAGAATTCCTACAGTCAAGCTAAAATTTGATGATCCCAGAAGATTTTTCGATTCAAATTTCCGGTATGATGACGTAAAACTCATCCAAAATGTATACACACATATTCGTCAGAGACGTAAAAGAGCTTCATTTTATTATAATCCATGTAATCCTGAGAGTACTAAATCATCAGAACCAAATGTAAGCTATGTGTTATTATTTTCATTTAGTAAACATTTTAACCTGTAACTCTTACTTCTTTATTCAAACACATCTATTCCTTTTGAAGGTGGATCAGCCATTACAAATCCGTAGTTGCATTTTAGCAATCTACGCAATTTCCAGATAACGATTCGACTGTTAAAATATAAACTAACTGGATTTTCGTTTTCAATATCCCTTAACAAAAGGTAGCAGTGATTTTACAGAAGGATTAAAGATAAACTACGTATATCAAGATTTTGACGTCGAAAAAGGAGCAAGGTTTTAAGAATGTTAAGCGATTATTTGCTGGTTTAAGCGCTTGAATGTCAGGCAAACAGGACGTAGTGCTTTCCCTATAAAGACTTAGACAATTAAATAATATTTACTAGTCCTTACAGGGTATATGATGTGGCTCATGGTTTTATGTGCGAACTTGTAGGTTCGTTACAACCACACTATGCAAAGATCACAAGTGATACAGGTAGTCCAGGCTGATAAGTTGATTTTCTATTCTGAGGTATATATATATAACCCACCATCATTTAACTTCTCGTGTGTATGAATCCTTTAGCTTGTTTCCATAAATTCGTTAACCGTACTTAATGTAACTGCTACCTTTATGAAGGTAAAGCATATCTACATCTACTACTAACAACGTTTCGTACGTTTCATCCCATACTAATCAAGTGTGTTGTGACAATTTTTCACTGGTTACACAACAGCAAATTATAAAATTGTCAATTATCTGCAATTCTTTCTTGATTTTTGCGTCATTAGGTAAAAGATAATACTGGCCGCTTGGGACCATCAAATTTGCGTTCAACTGTTGGTCGTCAATTAAAGCGTCACATACATAATACTCGTATCGCGACGTCGGCGACGCAAAACAATGAACTTGTAAACAATAATAATAATGATGACGATGAATTTACTGATCCACCAACTCCAACAAATGAACCGAATGATGATGAAGAGAAACAATAGTACAAATAAATATTTTCCGCCTTCTTTTTTAACTTTGAATCCAAATTGCTTTGACTTTTTTCCCCTAGTAAGTAACTTTTGTATCAAACTAATAATATATTCATCTATTTGCTTTCTTTTTTAAAATAACTTTTTTTTCAGAAAACAAGATATATATTCATAATATATTTTGTGCCAAAATTTTAATCTGGGATTTAATAAATGATTGGTAATAAAATTTTCTTTTGGTTAAAAATAAAGAAAGTATATTCTATTGATTTGTTTCCTCCTTTTTTATTGCATCAATATCCTTGTATGAAGCATCATGACTAGAATTGTTGTGGATATTTGTTTGATCACAAGTATTATCTTTATTTGAACGCTTAAGAAATTGCATCATTATATTTGAGCTACCATAAGATTTAATCATTTTCCTGTAAATAAGTAATGGAAAATAAAAATAATTCATATTGAATTCAATTTGTTGGTCTATAGTTAAGTTTTATTTCTGACAGAAGAAAAAGTATCAGAATTAACTAAATGAAATAGAAAAGGAATTACTTTCTTGTTAAGATTGAATAATTAATGCTGACTGCAACAACAATAATAACAGTAGTTTGAATATTACAATGATACTTCTGTTTGTGACCATAAACCAATTTCAAAAGAGCTTGACAGATATGTAGAAATAGTTAAATTGATCATTTAGGCAAGTATGCTGGTTTGTATAATTTTGAAAAGATAACCGTACTATGTGCCAGGCGCCTGCTCGACCTCAGAAATAAACCTTATAGATTATATAACAAACGTTTTTGAACTTTACTCATAATTTAGGCTTTATGTTCAATTTCAAAGCTACATTTCAGCTTAGCCGTACGCTTAGACTGTTATCATTAATGCTGATTACTGCCAACTATCAAGAAGCACGTTATACATAAACCTTAAACTGTAACAAAATTATGATATTGAAAGCGACCTTTATGTCTTTTTCAGGATGAAAATAGTAAAATCGTTCCTAATCGCGAAATCAAATAGATTTTGGAAGATTCTTAGATGACATCATCAAAATAAGTCATTTGTTAGCTATTAACAAAAAGTAAGATTACTTGTTCCAACAAAAGGAACGGATTACGAAGTATTCAAAAGTAGTAATGGTAATGTGACATTGGAACTCTTTCAAGTGTATACAGTTCTAAAATATTTTCTATTTATTTCAACTCACTTGTGTTCTTCTTCTTCACTAATAGGTTTAATACAATTAGGCTCGTTATACGTGGAATTGTTGACCTGAGACGTAACGGGATATTTAATGACAGATACATTGTCCAGATTGTGTGCAAGATCAGTAAGAAATTCATATGCCTGAAATTATAGTTTACTTATTCATCATTGAGAAATTAATCGCAAAATAGATTTTTGCAATAGAATACGGAAATACTTTTAAAAGAATGCGTTCTTTAGCATGGTTAGTAGTTGAATTGATTTCTTTACAAGCATTGTTTTCCGTAAACATAATTTTATCTTCATATTGAAAGTATAGAGATCATAGTAATTTGGTATTACGAAATGACTAAGTATAATCACAATGATTACGATAACAGAATGATAACTAACGTTCGTTGGGTAGCTGCTTCGTCTTTATCAGTCAGAATTTTGTGTAGATATTTTATGAGTTAGGACATTTAACGAAGACAACGTATGCACTGAACCATTCACTCATTCGACTAATTTGTTGACACTTATTCAAAACGTAGGCGCGCATTATTAAAGAGTTTCAAACTAGGATCAAACAGCTGTTTAAGGTCCTTTGGTTTTTGGAAATTGTCTAGCTGGTATCACTTAGTGGTTGTCATCATAATCATTAATAAACTGGATTGATTACAAGGGAAATATCACTGTCTCAGTCGATACGGACTAACAAACTGCCGGTAATTTTAGTAATTATCATACACTTAACTCCATCCAAAGGGTTAAAAATAACAGCAAATTAATCAAATACCCACCAACGAAGTTATTGGGTGATAATTGCAACAGTAATAGCTTTATTAAACACTTCGAATGATTAGAATGTTATCAGTCAGTCACAATGTAGAACTTCGTACGTACGTAGAATGTTATAGTTTGTCCCAGTTAGTGAAATTTATAACACTGCAATAAATACAAAGTTAAATTAATGTGAAACACTGGCCAATAAGAAGTTTCTTTTTTTTCAATTCCCGATACCGCCCTTTTTCTTACTACCGGTAGTTTATTTATCTAGACAAATTGTTGCTTAAACCGTTTAAAATAGTCATAGCTGGGTGATTAAGTAATTTTTTTACAAGAAATTCCAAACTGATAGTTGCAGAGGGATGTTTTCAGCTTTTGAAGTTAAGCGTTTTGGAGAAACTCGCGATTCAGAACGTAGTTTATGTAGTAACTAAAAGCTATGTTATTGGAGATCAAACAACGTTTCTGAAGTATTGTTTTAACGACTGTTTACGATTATCATTTTTAGTGTCTCTTAAATTTTGGCTACCTACATCAAATTAAAATTCAAGAGTGGTTAAGAACTACAAAAACAATCGTCTAAATAATCTTTAGGATATAACTGATTCCATGATGTTAATTTCAGTTCTTGAGAAGTATCGTTTAACACACTACACAACAATATACACAAAAGAATGAGAGTAACGGTCATTATTTTATTCATCTAAAAAATAAAATTAAAAAGTATAGAAATCCCAACTTTGTTGTACTATACTTGTTTATAATTGGATTCAGCTGGATCCAGCCACTCATAAATATCATCATCGTTATCTAAAATGACCTTTAATCAGAAGACAAATGAGAGAGTTATGATGTAGTATGAAGCATACAGGCATTCTTGAATGCACATCTGCCATGATGCCCTTTGAACTTGTGGTTATTATGGTATATGAATACATCTACACAAACAAGCTTGACACATTGAGTAATTACTTGTTTCTCATAATTATGAGCAAATAAACCTGCCATCATAAGTAATTTCTCAGGATCTTCAAGCATAAGTAGAGATCTAAAATATAATAGTATAATTACCTGAGGAGCAAAAATAAAATGGTTGTTTTTTGTTGACTCCAACTTTCCATTCATAAAATCTGAAAAGAATTAATAGTTCTACGTAATAAGAGTTGAATTTAGATAAGACAGGGGTAAGTGATCAAACCAAACTATTACATTAGCACACTTTATTTACAAAAAATAAAATCACGTTCATTACGAATGAAACCTCTCAAAAATATGAAAAAGAAAATAAGTGATTTCTGGTTAACAGAATTAGCAATAAGTAGTTTTAGGCTATATTGTTCGTTTGTCGTTTTAGAACTCATAAACTGAATTTCTTATGGCACAAAAGACGTTGGTACGTAGTCTATAAATTTAATCACAGATATGCTTATATTTTATATACATCTTTATCGTATGGTAGATAGTTAATCGTAAAGTAAAATCTTGAGTGATATACAAGCGATTACTAATTCAAACTATGCGACCTTCTAAAGATGTATCCTTCTTTCAAAATAGAGGGGTGGTTAGATGGCTCAGACAACCAACAACTATCGCTTTGACTGTGTTTTAAATTATCCAACAAGCTATGGGTGAATAAATCACAGTTAAATTTCTTAATAGCATATCTTACAGCCTATTGTACCAACTACCACGTAGTAGTTCTACCGTTTTTAGCTAAACATTACGTTTATCAGTATAAGTGATAGTCATTATATAATAGAACTTACCCTTGAACCACAACTACACATCGTTTGCCTTCTTGTAATGAACACTTGTAAGAGCGTTTATCTAATAATGATTCAATACGAGCGTTGAAGGTGTGGAAAGTGGAAGTTGAGTCTCCATGAATAAATGCAGGAATCAAACCCCAGCGCATCACTCGAAGTGAGTGGCCTTTGTCCTTTGTATCAGTGAACTGGTTTGAAACTAGCACTGGTCTTAATAAAATTAAAAAATATGAAATAGAGTATTTTAGTGTGAGGATGATTCTGAAGAATGTCAGTGAAACTATCAAAGTAACCGGTTGATAGTAGTCCGAAGTAAGTCGTCCACGAATGAGCAGCTGTGTTTCTGATGAACAAAGAGTAATTAGGACAATAGTCCAAATGACAAGTGGTGTCTAATTAAGAGTAAAACGACAGAACATTGAGGTAGGTTACAGTTTCATATCATAATTTCCCTAGAAATGACTATGATGAACTATAACCAACCACTTATCGTTTGATGAGCTCTAAAAATCCAAACATCAACCTCGACACTGGCAACTGTCTGTTAAACTATTTCTCAGCTATACAAATCATTCTAATATATCTGGAAGTATGGAAAAAGAATTCGCAAATATGTAGGCCTATTGCAGTGCGGTTGATTATCTAAACACTAATCATATGAAACATTGTTTTTCACTAATAGCTAAGTTAGCATTACAACTCGTTAAAATGAACAATAATGCCAGAAAACTATCAAAACAAGTGGTATTCTGCGTAATGAAGCACGAACATGAGGTGAAATTCCCACTTCTAGAAACAAGTTTGACATACGTTAATATCCGGACTAGCCAGTCAGAACTTGAAAGAAAAGAATCCTGGAAAGATTTCACATTCTACGAAACAAAGGTTTTTCCAAGACTAGAGTGTTACATTAAACAGACGAGATTCCAGAAGTAAGCATAGAGTGAGTATAATAGTGCATTTTTAATATTATATATATACTATTACTAAAACTTAAATGAGACTTTTTCAAAAAATTAACTATGGCAACAATATAGCTGCAAGTTTTTTATTACACTATACCATTGTATAATGTAGCTATTACTTTTCATGAAATATAAAAAACTTCGGCCATCTTCACAACTACTTTGACCATTTTTATGCTTTCCTGTTTAGAATACAACAGAGTCAAACTAAGAAGCCTCAACACATACGTCGTTGGCTTCTAAAGGAGATATCTTCTTTACAATGTAGATATTCGCGATATAATACTAATCCAAGCTATTTAAATAGCTTGGATTTATTAAATGGTAGGAACTGTAATATGTAAGTTAGATAGTGATAAGCTCATCCAAAATATACGCAACAAAACCCAAACCTCATTATATTATCTTTGAAATGTTAAGCGAGGAACGAACATACGTGAATGATCCTGGAGATATATTATAAGACGGATTATACTTTTGACCACCAGGAGCATTGTGCCAGCTAGGCTGC